TCAATAGTTGAACAATATCAGCGGATTATATTCGTGGATTAAATACAACTGATATATAGTCAAATGCAGACACGATCCGCGGACAATTGTCTGTCAATATGGATCGGCCTTTAATATCGTCGTATCATACAGGATAGTTGTACTACGTTAAAACTGTGTATTTGAGATTTATACATTTGTCGTACACTTGTAATGCGGAATGATATATATTAGAACAATTATGTTATTACGATTTCAGTCGCACTATTATCGAATTCGAATTCCTTACGGCAGTATTAATCAGTTGGAAAATGTTGTTATTTGATACACTTGGTATCGATTTATATTTCGATTTTAGAATTTTAGAATTGATGAAAAGTTTTTGAAATTACAAATTGAATTCTTGCAAAAATATTTAATATCGATATAAATGTATGTTAAACAAGTATGAATCAATTCTGCTTAAATAATTACATCACAATGAATTTGTTTCGATATATTTCGCGACTGACCAAATCTTCCGCAATTCTATTCGAAAATCGATCGAAAACGCTCTTCGAAAACGAATCGTAAGAAAAAACTTACACGGCAAGAAAAATAACGTGGATCGAATCGTTTTCAAAAGAGCATCGACTCAACGATACGACCGAAACATACGATCGAAAGGAAAAAGGAAAGACGAAAGAAGGTGGCGTGTAATTTCGAAGAAAGGAAGAACACACGTTTTAAACATTTCCAGAATTTTTTTTCTCTTCCTTTTTAATTTTTCGTATGCATACACAGTACATATTCTATAATATAATATAACACGTATATTTTTCTTTGTTCGTTCGATCGTGGAGGCACACACACCTCAAGGAATGTGTCCGAAACAAAATCTTGTTTTGCCTACACGGGATGCAGTTCTTAAACACCGTTCAATGTAATCGCGAATTGATGTATATTGATTATAAAAATTAATGCAAAAGAAAAAAAAAGGTATATATTATAAATAATATAAATATATTGAGAATAAACAAAAAAAAAAAAAAAGAATATGTATTTGTTCCTGACGAAAGAATTAATAAGAGTAGCGAACTACCATAATATTAAATATTGATAGTAATGATAAAGATAATTTGATGGTACATACTTTTCTTAAGTAAACATTATACAATTATTACAATTATTGTAGAGTTGGTACGGTCTTTGATGATGCCTTGCCTGTAAATGTAACGTTAAATGAACAAAAAAAAAAAATCTTATTACCTTGTAAATGTTTTACCAAATATAATCGATTATTCAACTTATAGTTCCACCTGATTTTCTCCTTTTCATCCCAATAAGAATAAATCTTTTTGAACATTTTAAAAATATCGATTAGATTAAATTAATTTACATATAAATTAAATACGAAAAATATATCCATTTATTCTCGTTCATTATTTATTATATTTTTTACTAAAAATTTCTTCATAAACGAAATATTTATACAAATCGACTTAATCCATAATATCTTTGGAAAGAATCTTGGAAATTTCGGAGAATTTAAAAATTCGCGCGGAAAGTTTAAAAAAAAAAGAGGATCCACGCTACCTCACCGCCACTCCCCATTTTACGAAAACCTATAAATCTTTTGTTTGGTCGTCCTCAAGCCGTGGTGTGATTAACGTGTGGCAAAAATAAAAATCGGTCGAAGTTCTCGCGGCGCATAAATATCCAGACGCATGCATAATCAGCGCCTTAAAAGCGGCGAACAAGCGGCAGGGTAATGTATTATGTGCGCGGTGTGTATCGAACGAAATGGAAAGTCGAATGAGAGGCAACCGAGATCACGATCTTATAGTTCGATTGTGAAATAAGAGTTGGCCACGAACGCGGCTCGAAGCAACGAATGAAAGTAACATCGGTTACCTTGTTCTTTTATTTCTATCCTCCTTTTGACCGTGTAACTGAACCGGTGTTTGAATCAGAGAAGAAATGGCCGAAAGAAAAGAATATCTGATACATTGAACAATGGATATTTTGGCATTGTGGGATTATTTTTTGTGTAGATGGAAATTTTAGAATTTCATCTTAGGTTTGAAAAGAAAAATTGGATTTTTGGAAAAATCAATTGATAATAAATATTAGAAAATGATTAAATTACAAATTAATTGGACTATAAACTACTTTTTTATTTGTCAAATAGAATAAGTCAAATTATTTTGAAAAGAAAGAATAGTGGCAAATTAAAGGAAAATTGTATAAAATTTTATAAATATATTCATATTATATAAAAGTATATAGCTAAGTATAATTTATTTAAATTCTAAGATATTCTGTATCACATTTTTCTATTCTAAAAAAATCCTAAAAATTTTTAGAAAAATTATAAAAAAATATAAATTTGCATATATGTATAAAAATAATTTAAGAATTAGATTAAATTACTAAAGAGCTACTAAGAAATTTCATTAAATTTCTTTAAAAGAAATTTCCATTTTTGAAAGATTTATACATTAAATTAAAAACTTTAATAACTATTTTAAAATTTTTTTTAAAATATTTTTTAAGACAATTTCTTTTCAAACCTGCTTGTTCAGAAAATATGTTAAAATATAGATTAGACTATATTTATAGATTAATCTATAAGATCGAATCTATCATATCTCTGTTCAAAATTCAGCTAATGGCCATCGATCGTGGTTGACCAATCATCGCAACCGACTTTCGCTCACAAAGTGACCCGATCAAAGCCGACCGAATAAAGGAGTTCCAATAAAGATAGGATCGATTGAATTCACCGGAGCCGAAAGTGACGACCCTTGAAACAAGCAACCCGGTCACTGATCGGCCAAAGCCAATTATACCAATTACAAGGAATCGGCGCGCATATCGCGCCAACCGAAAGGCGAAACCGCTCATTAAATCCAGCTTGTCCCCTCCATCGTGTCTTGTAATGGGACCGACTCATCGCAGGCCTCCACGATGCGAAAATAGGGGAACGTTGGTCGAACCCTGCTGGGCCCGGCACGGTTGTCAGGGTCAATTCAAAGGAAGGTCACATCAAGGTTATAGACTTAACAGCCAATGATTACGTGCTGTGATTTCGAAGCTGCAGCTATCAGTGAGTTACCTTTGCTTTTCTTGGATAACTATAATCATTGAAGAAGATTCAAGAATGAGAACACTTTGGATTTATACTATTGGATCATAAAAAAACTCAAGAAGATAGGCAAATTTTTGATTCATACTATTAGAAATATTATTTGGATTCATTCACTAAAAAATAAAAAAGTTATTGAAATATTATTAGATCGGAGAAAAATATGTGAACATGGTCGATAAATAAATTTCGAATCAAGTACAGACCTCGAAGGTAGAGGAGAGATGGTGCAAGACAAACTTTCCTGTTGTTTTATTTCCGTGGGCTGTTCGAATGATTTACAGTATATCGTGGACGATCCTCGAACTTTCACCTTCACCGAGGAATATTCCTTTCATGGCAGTTACGTAGCGCGACAGAAATAAATCGAAGCTTTTTATGGTGTATTTAAACGAATTGAAATTACGAATTGCTGAATATTGGCTCCTTGAAATAGTCACATTCTTTCTTCAGTCCTGCGTAATTTTAATTCTCTTCCATTTTTATATGTTCTTAAATCTAAAATTTATTTCTTTCTTTTTGTCAACTGTTTTTCTTCTGAAATTTCCCCAAAATAAAAAAATTAATACAAATAAAATTCAAATTATTTAGAATAAATTCTTTATAATTGAGATATCATGAGATTAATCACACTGACCAGATTAAATTGTAAATTAATGATTTTTAAATGTTTCTTAAATTATTTCTATCGTATTACACATAGCTCAATAATTCATAGAATTGTTTATGCTTACAGAATTATACTTACTATATAAAATTCCTGTTTCTCAAATTTATTATAATTATAATTCTATCAATATTTTCATCTCACACTGTATGCAAAATTTCTACTGGAAGCATCCAAATACCTCTTTCCAATCTTCCAATAAATCTTATCTGAACTCTCGATCAATTTCACACGATCGAAAAATTTTATATTCATAAAAATCTTCAAGAATCACGAAAAGAAAAAACCTCGAAGATGCAAAAAGAAATGGAAAAAACCATATAAATTCCACAATCTACCCAAGACCGGCTTCTTCAAAAGCCTCGATCCCATCCGGTGGCCTTCGCTATGATTTAACGCGATCGAGCCAATATTTATTAACCGCATTAATTACCTTTAATAATCGCAAGCAACACGAAAAGTATCTTTCCGTTTATAAATACCACCTTGCTACCGCATAAGAAGCCGCAATTTTCTTGCAAATTCGCGGAATATGCGTATGAATCCAAGATGACCAATCTAACCTAACTTAACCTTGCGAATACACTCGCGAAATCCTTCACTAGTTGGTAGCCGATACTCTGAGAAGATTAAGGGCTTATTACCGGCGCGACAGAGGATTAATGACGCGAGCAAAGTCAGTATATTGCATCTACATACCGAATAAATTCGTTTGCCTCTGATTGCGAAGAGCAGAAACGACGCGAGCAGTATGGAGGCGTTCCTGACATTTATCAATCCTAATTCGAGCGCCCTCTCGCGGCCTAATTGCATCGTTAAGGGCCGACCGACACCGCGATCTTTAACGATCCGGTGATTGGGGTTATTGATACCGGCCTCGGGAACGATCTTCGATCACTGGTTTTCGATTGATTTCGTGTACGTGCCCACGCATGATTTACACCGTATTTGCGTTTACCTTCTCTTTCATTTCGGCCTCCGGCGTAGCCTGGGCTCAAAGCTCGTCTGACTGCTTCACTGCCATTCGCTTTTGCCTAGGTTAAGGCGAGTTTCAATGGATATACATACATATTGTGCGTATATATACTGGATGTTGTGGTCAAGGAGCGCACGCGCGGATGAATCGGTTCGAAAGATGGCCGGACGTGACTTGAAAGTGAATACGATCGTTTCGATGAAAGAAATTTATATTTATAGGATTGAAAATATCGATTGATTTTATTTGATTATTGTATGATATTTTTGATTTGAGTGTATGTGTGTATATGTATGTATATGTGCTATTACTGGTAAGAAGTTTTTATATGAAAATTGCCGAAGGAACTTAACCTCTTCGCTTATACCAATATTCAGATATCCAAGTATCTTTTTGTGTGTTATATTAATGTTTATTACGTTAAAAATAGACAATTTAACTATAATAAAAATTATGTATGAATCATTTGGGATATAGTCATATAATTAATGATATTTAAATACTACAAATTCTTATAAAGCAATATATATTGATAAAAATATTTTAATAATTAGCATTATGTTATCTTAGAACAAAAATATACTTTCAATCAAGTTTCTGATAAATTTGATTGAAGATTTCATATCGAATTTTTTGATCTTTTTGTTAGATTATTATACTTGAAACTTTTGTCTAATACAATATAAATATTTCGGCGATATTAAAGATAATAAGTGAATTTCTGTGGATACGCGTGAAATGAGATATGTAATATTAGCGAATTAACAGAGTAATTAATTCGACAAGGTCAATTTAAAGAGAATAAGAAATAGAACGACATGTAGAGAAGTGAGGTTGTATAAACCGACTAGAACAAGTTACTTGTTACAAAAACTGCCTTATCGTTGCTAGAAGAAACTCTTGTTCTGAGCAGACTTGTGAGCGAAAAAAGAGAGACTAGTTCTATGTTCTAGAGAGACAAGATCTTAAAATAATTTTCTAATGAATATGTATATAATATATAAATAATTGTAATTTAATTTCATTAAATGATAAGAAAATTTTTATATAACCTCTAAATTAATATTTTCAAATGATTAAAATTCAATTTAAGATTTAACCTAAACCATCCAGATCTAACCTAAATCTATCCCAAATCTATAATAGTAGAAATATATACCATATATCTCAAACAATGGTTTTATATATTCTAAAAAATTGGAAATTACGATTTTGACAATATATTTTAAAGTTATAAACATCGATTATATAAATCGCATCTTTTGCAAACAATTATTTCGATATCTAATTGATCAATCGATTCCAATTTTATTCGATTTTCAAGAAAACATAGTACATGCTTTTAAATTGTGCTAAGAGAAATTACATATAGTATATACTTCGATAAATAGGAAGGACAAGTATAGAATCGCCGTTAATTATCGATCAATCGTGATTTCGATAAACAGCAGTGGTTAGAAGGCACCGGCTTTGTATCATCGCGACAAGAATATCGAAGATATTCTATCGATCCCTGTTCGACCTGCATGCGATGCACTAGGAAGTAAGCGTTGTCCTGACAAATGTGATTAATCGGCACCAAACACGGTTGCGGGTTGTTGCACTCGCAATTAAAGCCTGTTAATAAACCACCAAGGCAAATCGTTTCGCGCTCGGTGGAATGTGAAAGTTACTAGATAAGTCTACGAGGTTTATACCCCTGTGTGCACATATATATGTGCGTGCACGTGAGGTTAGGTCGCTAACACTAAACCACCTCATTATCGGATTCAGTCTTAATTGAGATTAGTTTCGTTAACGTGTTCGCGGCCGGACCAGTTCCGTAAACCGATATCAGGCTCCCTATGTAAATGTCATTATCACGATCAACGAGCTGGAATAGAGGTTCAATTAGGCGATCGGAAGCTGGCTTTTCTCTCCTCGACCGGTTCAAATTCACCGCGTGCCGATCTTGAGTAATATCGTTGTGCTGTATTTTTTTTTTTTTTTCCCTTTCTTTTTTAGGTTAGATCCTTTTACAAGAATTGAGTTTAAAGGTTAATCAAGTTAGTAGTTTTGTGTTGAAATTCGATAAAGTTTATGGACTTCATTGTGACGATGATTGACTTTTATTGATCAACTTTAGAATTTATTATCTTTTGTTAGTTATAATTAGAGTAAACTATTATTTTATAATTCCTAAGTACATTTAATTTTATTGCTTCTGTTTTAGCTTTAGTATTAGCTTTGTATTAACTTTAGTTAATCTATCATTTAAAAATTCGTATAATGTGAATTTTGACTTGATTTTAGAAAAGAATTTTTTTGAAAAATTGATTAAATAACAAAAATAAATCCTTTAATTCTTTCATACATATTTTTGGAAAATATCATTGAACCATGATTGGAAAATTGGAAAGATATTCCTTTTACTAAACTAAACTGACATAACTGGTAAACATCATAATGAAAAATTACGATTAATTTCCAATCATTACCATAATATATATCATACTTTTTTACACATACGTATGCTTCTCAAAATAGAATCCAAATATAAATAACCGTCTGCCACTCCACTTCAACCTCTTCCATCCAATCACGACCATCATTAACCCTTAAATCCCATTAAATCCCCTCCCTCATACCAACTCTCATCGCACTCTCACATCGGAATCTCGCCTCTGATACAAATATCAAAAAGCGAGGCGTCTCAAGGCCACGTTTAGAACCGCCTCGATTTTTTCAACTGTACCTACGGCTAGGGTAGGTAGACAGATCGATTCATAGCAAGTGTGTGCGTGTGTATAAATGTGCGAGTGCGTGAAGTATCTACGGCCGCTTCCGACGTCGTAAATCAAGATGACCGATTCGAGAGAAGAGGCCCTTAGCTCGGTGTGTGTCTGCGACCTTCTCGCTCCCTCTCTCCGTGAAATAATCGACCACGTTCCTGCGTTCCACGTCTACACGGGAGCGTGTCGAGGATGCTGGCCCCTTGGGCGGGGTGAGTGCATTGTACAGTTAGGATTTCGAGACGGTTGAGGCATAATGAGAGAAACGTGCTGCCTTCTGGCCAAGTATTGTACCAACATGAGATATTGGCTAACCATCTATTTTTCGGCATACAGGCAAGCGAAAAGGCTAATTCCATTTAATTCTTCTTTGGCCTTACAATAGATAATGCAATAAGTCTTAAAAATATTTCTTGGTCTTCTTGATTCTGAGGACTTGGCAAAGATAAAATGATGCTAACCATCTATTTTTGGAGACAAGAGAAAAAATTATTAATTTCATCTAATTCTCTTTTGATTTTATAATTAATATGCAGTATGTTTTAAGAAAGTTTTTGGTTTTAAGCAGTTGACTTCAGTTTCTTAAGGATCTTAAGAAAATTGCATTCAAAATCAGTCATTGTTGTTGTAAAATTCAATAAGAGGAGAGACTTTATAAATCTACAAGAAATTTGAAAAATTTTATTCCATAGTCTTTGATCTAAATTTGAATAATTTTGTATAATTTGAAAGTGATATTAGAATTTATTGTAGATTATTAGAATCAGAATTTAGAATTATATAATAAACTTTGATTATAATAATGAGAGCATCATATTCGAGGATATGCGAAATCTTTATTATAGAAATCTCTCTTCTATCTATGCGAAAATCTTCCAAATTATCATCTTTATTACCCTACTTTATTTCAATGCATCTCATTTCTTCATTATCAGCTTCAGATCTGCGTTCTGATGAAAATGAAGGTGTCACTCTCACGTTACAGCCAATCATTTCGCCTAGCCGTCTTATTTCTTAGCGACTTCGTGAAATCTTGTTTTGCCAGAACCAGTTTTCGTAAATAGGAAAAATATTTTTAATTAATTTTGAAAAATATAGCAAGGCCAGTGACCAGATCGACCAGTATCTGAGATCTTGTGTTCAACTTGGAAAATACGTGGATTATTATTAAGAATTCCTGGCTACCGTCCAACCAGTATCGTGAGAACGGGGTCGAAGGATTTTCCAACCTGTAAGTGATCTTTTCATTCGCGAAATTATCGTGATTAGTCGTAACAGGCCGACGAGGATAAGATTTTACGATCTATGTGTGTCAGTTTTGTATCGGCACTTGTCTCTTTGGATTTATTTCGTTTCAAGTTATTGATTGGATAAGTTGTTTGACAGGTAGATGGAAATTGCTTGCGAAAAAGAAAAAAAAATGTTTGGATCCAATGAGGAATGTTGATAAAAATTAATTTTTAACTTCGTTTTAAATCTCTTATAGCAATTTTTATTGTAGATAATTGAAAATTATTTAAATAATATTCCATATTCCATATATTGATTGAGATATAAACATACATATATCTAATTAATAAGTATCATTAACAAGTGACTATAGTTTGCAACAGACAGAATTGAAATAAGTCATATTGTTTTTGTCTGAAAGAGTCAAGAATGAGTCTATGAGAAAAAGAAACTATTACAATGTACGTACGTATAAATCTTCTTTATATTGTATAGTATTTTTCTATACTTGCATCATTGTACAGCACCTTGAAAGAAAGAAGAAAACTTGAAAGAAGCAGTATTTATAAATCTTAACCGTAACTTATCTAACTTAATACATTCTATTTATGACAGTATAGTAAAATAAGAGATATTACAAATCGTCAGAAAATAAAGAGTTAATATCTACTACCTACGTGAAATTGTAAAAAAAACCATTGAGGAATCGTGAAACAACGTATTGTAAGTACGTAAATACGAGACGTGTCACAGTACAAAAGCATTGTTCATCGTTTTACAAAGTGGTCGTTATTCACCTCGATAATGACTGTTTTGTCTGAAAATAACAAATGTTTGAGATAAATCGAGACGAGAGAGCGATCGGACAAAATGGCCGTGGTGGAAAGTTACGAGGATACTCGAGATTGATTGAGAAATCGATTGTACTTGTCCGACACCTGTTGACGCGTGGAAAACATCGGCGAATCGGGCAACTTAATTAATCCATCATTGGAAGAATAATCAAGTGTCGGATAGAATGTAATAAGGAGCTCTCGATTACTTCCACGAAGAGGATCGTCTTCCTTCGAGACGACAAAGATCATGGAAGAAAATGGAGGAAGAGAGACGATAAGTATCGAGAATCACGTTTTCGATATCGTGATCGGATTAGACGAGTTAGAAATGTATTTATAAATGGACTACATATATTACAATTCTATACTGGAAATAGAATTGGTATTTGAATCTAGCTAGAAATCAAAGACCTATGATCATCATATTCTCTTTAAATTTAAAAATTTTAATAGATGATTATTTGCTTTGTGAACAAAAAATTATTTTAGTGCATAATTACATCAAAAAATTTATGGTTTTACAAGTTAGAATTAAAATTTTTGTACAAGTATTCTTGGATTTGATTTATAATCTATATTATAAATATGATTGCAAAATAAATATTCTATTAACATTATAATTATTCAACTTGGATAATACTATTTTACATTTTTTATTTATAAAAAACAGATTTTTGTCTAAAATCTCTATTTATCTTACAATATAATTTAAATTATAATAATGTAAATTAAATAATAATATGTATAACATATTATAGCTCATAAATTTTAATATTAGTAAAGTCTCAAATCTTCTTTATAATATCATATATCAATAAAATTGATATATTTATTTTTAGATTTTTGCTATATTATTACCAAATTAACTAAATATCAAATAAGAAGCAATACCCCTAAACCTATCAAAAGTTTAAAATTAAAAAAATTGTGTCTGCGAATCGTGTCGTTTTCGCCAACCACTGCTTCACAAGAAATTTTCAAAGAATACCGTTCATTGTCAGTTTTATCATTGTACTTGAGGATAATTTCTCCAAATGAGGCACCAACTTAGTAGGCACAATTGCATCTAGCGCGAAATCGTTCGTCGTGGAATGTCGCAAGGGGTCGGTCACACCCGTGCAAGGACTCTCACCGAGGACGATTCACCATTCTCGAGGAGAGGTTCTAACGAGCGTTGCGTAACCGCGGGCGCTCATTAGCACGTCGAGATCCAATCCCACGGCTGAGCAGCTGACTGACTGACTGACTGACTGACTGACTTACTGACTCTCCTTACGAAGCTAGAAGATCGACGAACATGTTGCGAAACTGTTATTGCGCTTACCAATTATGCGAACGATTCATTGTTGACCGCTCTTCCGCGTGGAAACGTTTCGAAAATTTCCCACTGAATCGTGTTGAGCTATTGGAAAACGAAAACGATCTCAATATTCATCATAATTGAGTTTGTAAGGAAATATAATAATGAAATTGCTATAGCATTGCGTGTGTTTCTTAACTCTTTTTATTAAAATCTTATATCCAATATAAGATATGGAATATTTTTAAATTTTGAAGAATTCTATGAAAGATTGCTAATGGAAATTAATAAAATGTTTAAAAATTTTTTATATAATTGGATATATCATACATAGTAATTTAGATTATGTCTAAAACTTTGGGCTATGTACTCTTCAAATCCTAATCTCAAATACTAAATTTTACAACAATTATATTTTAATTATTATCACATTAATCAATTGTAATAAGCATTATTTTCATTATGAGAAATAAATAATTAATTGAAACTATTTATAGATTAGCCTGGGTTGGTCATTATATTATATAAAATAGATTATACTTTACTATATAATAATATAATTTTTATCAATTATAATATCATAGGAAGTAAACATAAATGAATTTTTCTAATTCAGGAAAATAAGAAGATGAGAATGAAAAAGAAGATAGCCTTGGAAAATTGTTTCTTCTTTGATATGTGGAAAGTGGACAAGTAGGATGCAATAACAATAGTCAAGAATATGTCATATATTGGTAGAAGCGGTTTACATTCATGACAGGAACAACATGATTGGGATTTGATGGATATGGAACAGACTTATCAAGGTCAAAGTTTGGGAATAAAGAAGTTATTTATGAATAGAATGAAAGAAATGCTTATAATACAGAAATCTCAAATTCCTAAGTAAGAAATTTTAGATAAATACTCTTAAAATTGTGAAACATCAAAAAAAAAAAATTAATTATTTTTAATCATTTTAAATTCAACGAATCAATAAATATTTTTTTGATTTATGTATCTTGAAATAAATAATATGAATAATGATTTTATATTATAATATATTATAATATTCATGGAATATTCATGGAATATCTTCAGAAAGTTAATTCTAGATATTAAAACAAACACAAAAGTTGATATATAAAAATTCAATTGCACTAAACGATAGAATTCATAATAAAGCAGCAAATATACAAACAAAAAATTTAAAAAAAAATATATTGTTATTTTTCATTTTAATCCAATCTTCAAATCCAAGAATACATAACCTAACTTAACCTAACCTCTGTTGCACGTACATACATAGAGCCGAAGACAAGTGGTCATGCCGAGTTGTAAATCGCCGTCTCTCAGGTCTCGCGTGTTATCTGGTCATTGGATGAAACAGCACGCGGAATATGGAGCACTTACCCTGATCACCGTAACGGCGGTCCACTTAGCCTGGGTAACGACCGACCCGGACCATCATCAGGCCGTCCGTCCTGGATGGCGTGCACGCGCGGTTGGCGACCTTTACGCCATGGGACCACGATGTTCCATTTGCCAGGAGATTGAAATTCCGCTCATGGCTCGGATTACAGCGACGCTGCTTGGACGGTTTCTCGCGACTCTTGCCTTTCTGCCTCCTACCTCATCTATCCGCCGGCCACTCTTGAAAGCATTCGAATGTAATGGTCGGCTAACGACTGTATTTGCAATTCATCGGAGTGGCTTAATTGCGTATCGTGCGCGGCGTCCACGTCCATAGAATAATTCATACAAGTTTGAACTGTCCTTTGCCTTCCAAGTTTACGAATTTTTCCGCGCATGCGCAGAAATCATGAGATTATCTCGTCGAACTATAATTCGAAATAAAATATATTTGTATTTGAACTCGAATGTGATGATTCGTGATATTTGTGTGCATAATTTTGGTGGATTT